TGCCGTTTGACGTAAAGCAGTTTTTGCTTGAAAATGGCTCTGAAACAATACAACGTGGTCCCTAGAGAGCTATCACTTTAGTAGATTCGCACAATATTGCTTCACTGAGATATATGAAGCAAATTTCTGTGTAAAACTTTTGCCCAAAGTTGAGTCGGATGGCAGCAAACACACAAGGTAGAATTCACTGTTACAGTGAATGTCTCCGGCTCCATAAGGGGAACAGATGGAGGCTTGATGGGTGGTGTTAAATGCAACAGCAGGAGGACAGGGTGCAGTAACTGGAGCACCTCACATCAGCCTTTCATCTCAGTGCACTGTGACCACTCCCCATTAAGGAAGGTCAGTTCAATGGCACAGCGCAATCAAGGGAAAATAGGAGGCATCACCCACCCCTCGCCCAGTCTTCATTAGCGTTTCACGCCTCGTCCTTGTCCCGCTTTTAGCAATCACAGTGACCGCCGCTCGTAATGAAAGTTGTGAAATGAGCATGAATTAATGCATCCGCGAACAAAGCTGGAGCACAGTGAACTGTGCACGCTGTTTACGTTCAGTCTTTTTGTTTTATACTTTTCAAAGTTTTTAGCTCAGTCACACACAGATGAATTAGAAGGCCGCCACTTCAGATCAACTCATTGGTCGTCTGAAGATTTTAAATGAGAATAACCACAATTACAGGAGCTTCATTTTCATGGTTAAATTGAGTCTGTGTCACAGGCACAGCAGCTTTAAAAACTCAAGGTAATTGCTGGAAGAAGATAAATGTTTTGCTGACCCACCACTTCATCCTGACCTCCTCCTTAGTGGATTTTGTGACTCATTAACAAAATCAACAGGTTTCCTGTTGATTTTGTGAGATGCAGAACATGTAGGGGCTGATGCTGTCAGTCCACCCCAAATATTTTTTTATTTGAAATATTCAGATAGATGACTGTAGAAAACTGTACAGAAATGTCCTCACACGTCCTTTTAAATTACTTTTGCAAAACTTTCAGTCATGTAATATTCCTTCTGCAGACACAAAAGCAGGCTCAAGGGATCACTCAGAGGTACTGTAGTCCCACAGCATATGTGGGTGACAAATGCGGAGGACACAGCGATGCAGCCGGTGTAGTTACAATGAACGTAATGACTGTAATTTGTTTTGGACAAAGGTGTCAAAGAAATGTAATTTGATGTAATTAAATTGTGTCAGATCTTAAAAATGGCTCCAAGCAAAGTTTGTAAAGGAAATAGTGCAATCGCGCCCATTATCATATCCTTATTCCAAGGTTTTCCTGTGTCTAACAATTTGAATAACTGGAAATGGGAATATCAGTACATTTAAAAGTGAAGGTCGGGCCTTTAGGCTTCGGTTTGGCTTGTTAACTCTGTTGCTTGTTCACACTACAAGCAACAGAGTTAAAAAAAAAAAAAGGACAACCTCAGTAGCTACACCTTTTCTATGTCACATGTCATCCTGGGGCCTGTGTGTATGTGTGAACATTGTGATCGGGCAGGGCTGAAAAAACCTTGGGTTTGTTGTGCGTCACACAAGCATCAGGTGTCAGTTTGGAGCTTCCATTGAGCAGGACTCACCTTTGGCTTCTCACCTGTAGCCTTATTCTGAACCACACACGGGACAAAAGATGCATGTAACCCCATGACGTCATGCAGTGGTTATGGATGTGTAGTGTAGTCTGTGAGTCTACACAAAGAGCTTTTCTTTTCCCCAGCAATAATCCCATGCTGTGCATGTTTGCTCAAAGTGACCACCGTTCTGAGTGCCGGTCTCTAATACCAGGGAAGAAATTTCATTTCTTTGAAATGACAGTTGGATGCAGTTAGTAGCACATCTACAGCTCAGGATATTTCACCTGCGTAACCATGTTTTTTATTCTTTCACTTTTCTTGCTGTTTTCTAGTTTAAAATACAGTCGCATTTTAAAGATCGAGCACAAATAAAAATACAATGTTTCTCTTTGGTCTTTCTCCAGAGTGACGATGCCTCAGCGGTACAGGATGTGGCAGAGTCACCAGTTGATACCGACCCTGCTGATGTCACAGAGGTAAGGCCCACCTGCCCCCACCGACCGTGTTAGCTGCAAATCACACTTGACTGGATAAAGTCTTGCAGGTGTAACCTCACCTAAGTTTTATTAGAAGTATTACGGTATAAAACTATTCATTGTCATTTTAACACATATTTAGCAAATGGATAGTTAGCTCAGGGACACGGTAACTCGCTGTGTCTTTGGCATACCCAAGACAATAATCTTTAAATTACATCAACATTTCTGTTAAACAAATGAAAGGTTCATATATTATTTGGCATTTGCTGGCAACTTGCTTAAAGGTTACATCCTGCTTAAGGCAAAGACAGACTGTGAGCAGCTCCAGACAGCCACCAGAGTTCATAAATAAACCATTTAATGGGTGGTGTAACATTATCTCCGTTACTTTGCACAGTTTCTGTGATGTAATGTCATTAAGCTGCACAGACATGCATCTTTCAAGGTGACAACGATCGCGCCGCAGGAGGTCATCTGCATCCCAGATGATAAATCCAGACCTCTATTGTTTTTGGCCTGTTTCAGGAGGACTCTGACGAATAACCTGCTGGGGAGCGTCGCTGTCGAGGATAAATGATCGAAACATTCCATGTTGCTCTGCCAAGTCCCGTCGTGCCTCGTTTTGGTCCTTTATGGAGTCTGTGCTCAGCGTCGGTGTGCGTGCGTGTGTGCGTGTTTCCGTCCGTGCCGCCCCGTACGTCTGTACAATATCCGTGTAAATGTTGTGAAGATCGAAAGATGTCGCGTGAACGTGTTGGTGTGCGTCGGTGTGTGCCTTTTAAACATCAGTCTCGAAGGAGACCTCAGGTGTGTGTCCTCTGTGACCAGCTGTCATTTACAGTGACTCCCTCCCACTGAGAAAGCCAGCTGATCACTGCATGTCTATGCGTGTGCGTGTGTGTCTATATATTTGTCAACTGTGTGGCTATGTCAGTAACTCAAACATGGAAATATACTGCAGTCTACAAACACCTAAGTGTCTCTATATAAATGAACACTTTACAGTGATCTGTTTGAGATGGGAGCAGAATAATATTCTCTATTTTTGTCTGTATACTGTCACTGTTTTTTGCGGTGGACTATAAAGTGCTGAGCTATTTGTGCTTTTCATATTTTTTAAGTTGTCACTGATATAACAGATATACTATATCATGTTGGATGGACTTTTGAAAACCCAGAGCATGTAAGGAACTGATATTCATTTAATGGGAATTAAATGTTGAATAAAATGTGTAAAAGTGTGAGACCCATGATGTTTTTAGAATTGTGCTTCATTGCTCAAATTAAATACAAAAGGAAAGAAAAAGCTATTGTCTAAAATAAAAGAGTGTAAAAAGAAACAAAAAGGCAAATCGCCTTTAGTCAGTAGTTGAGGAATAATTAGGGCAAAGCTATTTAAAAGTGACAGATGCGTCTTTAAAATGAATGCAGGAGATAATGGGCAGCCACTGTAATTTGGCAAGCACCAGCGTAATATGTTCAAATCATATCTGTGTGCCAGCTAAGATCTGGGCTGCGGTGTTCTGCACCAACAGGATGCGGTGAAGTCAGCTCTGACTCGTGCCAACACACAGCGCAGTAGTCACGACAGGAAAAAATAAAATCCGTAGCAGGGAGTGTGATCTGATTTGAAAGATTCAAATCTAGCTATATAGATCTATATCTATATGTGTGTAGACTAGCTTTAAGTAAGTTGGCTGACCTATAACAATAAAAACGTGTTGAGAGCATTTTTTAAATTGTGGTGAGCGATGTTATGTGAATAACAGTGTATTTTTAAAACAATGATCACACTGGTAGTTCACAAGCTGGATGTCAAAGCATCTTCACTTTCTCACTGAAAGTGGGACAAAAATCAGTCTGTCCCCATGATGACAGCCACTTCATTAGGAACAGTTCGTTAGGTGTTCAGCTGCTCATTAACACTAATATCTAATCAGCCAACTACGTGGTAGCAACTCAGTGCATTTATGCATGTAGACATGGCTGAGAGGACCTGCTGAAGTTCAAACTGAGCTTCAGAATAGGGACGAAAGGTGATTTGAGTGACTTTGAACACAGCGTGGTAATTGGTGGCAGATGGGCTCGTTTGAGTACGGTATTTCAAAAGCTCCTGATTTTCAAACAACTGTCTCGAGGATTTTCAGAAAATGACCCAAAAAAAGAGTTCTGTGGATGTTTACGTCAGAGGTCAGAGGAAAATAACCAGACTGCTTCGAGCTGATAGGAAAGCAACAAAAGCTCAAATAACCACTGGTTACTGTACAGCCAAGATATGCAGAAGATCATCTCTGAAGGCAAAACACATCTAACCTTGGAGCAGATGGGCTACAGCAGGAAGACCACACCGGTTGCAATTCTCTCAACTAAGAAAAGGAAACTGAAGCTGGAATTCACACAGGTTCACTACAACTGAACAACAGAAGATGTGAAAAACATTGTCTGGTCTGATGAGTCTTGATTTCAACTGCAGCATTCTGATGGTAGGGTCACAATTTGATGTAGACAACATGAAAGACTGGATCCATCCTGCCTTGTATAAATATAAAGAACTCAAAGCGGCTGGTGAGTCTCTGAGTTCTCATCAATTACTGGTTTGCGCTTTAAGAGATTTCGGTATCGTCTAAGGATTTTGGTAATCAAAGATAATCTAGGATTAGATGTTGGCATGCAGCTTAAACAGAACAACCATGTTGGGCTTGAAAATGTGCTGTAGCCAGCCCTCCAGCTGCAGGCTTTAGAGAGTGCGAGGGGAGGGAAAAAAAGAGACAGACGTGCACTCACAAAGGCATGTCCTTGCAATTAACACTTCCAGCATTTTGTTTCCTTGGAGAGACAGCACTCTTCATCAACACTGAGGCCAACATGTCTTTTAGTCCTGCAGGATTTGGTGGGTATTTATTGTTCATGACACATCAGTCTACAGCTGCAGTAGCCCACTGTTTTATGATGCACTTGATGAAAAGCATACATCATATTCATGCTAAAGCTGGGGTAGGCTACTTGTTCTGGGGGCTGGTCATTTGGACAAATCAGGTGAGCACTATAAAACAGTAAAAAGAAAATAAGATGCACAGGATAACTGATTTACATCTGTTTAAGATCCTTTTCTCAGGCATGTCCAGGTGGCTTTTCCAGGGACGTTGCTATTCTAAGACCGCTCGCTGGAAGTCCGGTTCCAACCATCATGGTCCTCAAACATTGCAGGAGCAAAGGTCAACTTCTAATTCCAAGTTTCTCATGGAGAATCATTGCTGGTAGTGAGAACTGAATCTACAGCTACTCCCAAGCAGATTTTAATTTAATTAAATCCAGGAGTCCACAGTTTCTAAGCAGAAATTAGCTAGATTGCAATTTTTGATCAAACCTCATATCTAAATAATAAAGTCTCAAGAAAGCCAGAGAATTCAGATGATTTCTCTGGCATGATGTTGCTGGTCTGCCTCCTAAAGCAGACTTCCTATCAGCACAACATGGAGACGGATCTAGGTAGCAGCTGTCTTTAATGTTTAAGAGGACAACAGATGATACATGAGCAAGTGTGACTCCCTAAAGGTGCACAGGAGTAAGCACAATAACCTTCCACTCTCAGATCAGCATGTAGTTGACTGGCAGTGATGAGAGCTTGCAAAAAGATCAACAGAGAAACAGCTAGAGGGCATGAAAATGACCCAAATGGACAAGGTAAGCAAAAGCAGGGTGGGGGCAAGCATGGAGACCAGAACACTGCTGGACACCAGCATTAATACACTTCTGGAGATGGTTAGGATTTACTGGGCGAGCATGTTTTTAAGAAAAATGCAGAAATGTATCCAAACAAAATATTACGCTGGCTACGACAGCTCCAAAGCTAATGTGAGTCCTGAATGAACTTTTGTATCGGCTAAGGCGTGAGCAGATCTTGCTGTTGTGTTCGTGTCTGCATGTAACAGCAACATAACTCAAAGAGAAAATTCATCTCCACTAAACACCACACCGAAGCCCTTTTAACCAACATTTCCTGCCTTCCTACCAATCAAACCATACATGCAGCGTCTGTGTACCAACCCACATCATCTGAATGCCTCCTTCCTGTTCAGGTTCTTGGTATTGTGTCAATTGCCCAGCTGCAGTCTGAATTCAAAGTGTTTGAACTGTCCTGTGATGCGTGCGACCTGATTTCTAAAATCCACTCACAGCGAGATAAACCACCGAGATCATCAAGAACCGCATCGTCAAACGATTCTCAGAATCGCTCAAATCATTTCACTCAGACTGGATTTGTAAAGATACATTTGACGGCCTCCTGTTTCCATGTTGCAGTGAACAAAAATAGTTATATTTAATATATATTTAGTACATAATAAAATACTTTGTTTTTAAGCTTTTTATGAATAAAGGCTGCTAAGTAATAAATTATTACCATAACCCTGCTAAGACCACAACCTTTCAATTTGTGCAGGACTGCATTAATGTGAAGACCATGCAGCTGTTTCCAGGTGTTTTATACGACAGAACATTAAACATTTAAAATGAAGACCGATGCAGCTTGATCCATGTGCTGTAAATTTATTTACATTTTTATCATAGTGGGAGTAACCCTGACCTTCTTTATTGGAAAAGTATAGCCACTGTTGACAGCACACACAACAGCATAACGTTGTGATGGTTTCTGGTTTTTAAAAAAAGGGAAAATGCGAGCAAAATATTCACTCCTCTGTTCCTTTGTGGACTGACACTTCCAACAGCAGTATCCAATTGTCACATCAAACGCCTACATGGGAATATGTGATAACACGGTGTGCAATCATGACAGAGAACTCTCAGCTGTATATTCCATATATTTCAACCTTATACATGTGATCCACAGCTGAACTGGAGAGGTCCATTTGAAAATGATCAGACAATGGGGAGAACTGGTGGAGATTAAATATTTCACTTCTTCTTCCTCTTCAGGGATTTCCACTCTCCCTCCTGGGTGGCCAGACTGCCCATTAGCTCTTTCACTTTTCTCTTTCTCTCTGCATCCCTGAAACACAGAATATATAAAAGTTAAATCGTCTACTAAGAGAAGCATGAACATTTCTGAACGGATGCTGGAGTTGTATCCACACCTGTTCATGACCTCGTTGAGCTTCTCTCTGGCCAGGAAGCGTGAGTCCTTCCTGATCTCTCTCAGAGCGCCCTTAAACTCCCTCTTGTATTTATGCTTTAGTCGCTCCTTCTCTCTCTCCTCTCTGGTGCTGCCACGCTTCTTTCCATAGTCCAGCCTGATAATAACCAAAAATGGCACACGAAATATTAAAAAAAAGAGGGGAGACATCCATCGTAAATCTTTGGCTACCTGAACAATCTGAACTGCTCGATTTGGATGAGCAATTTATTTTGGTGCTTACACTTCAACAATCTTGGGCGTGAGCAGCTTCAGAGGAATAGGCTTTCTCTTGTCAAAAACAAGCGCACTCTGAGTCACAGGCGTGCTGCTAATGGCCTCCACGATCTCACTGCTAAGCTCCTGCAATGACAAACACTGTTACTAAACACAGAAAATTCATCCAATTAAGATAAAAATAAAAATAAAAAAACCCCAAAAAGAAACAAAACAACAAAAAATCAGCACAAATCCGTAACTAACCTGTAATGGCTCTGGTAATGTTTGGGTGGAAAGATGTTTTGAAAGAAGCGTTCTGATTGGCTGAAAGATGTGTGTGAAGGAGGGGAGGTCTTTGTAGAGCAAGCAGCACCTCTTCACCAGGTCGAGGCAAGTAGACAAACACGTTAACCTGTGAAAAAACACAATTATGAACATTTCAGTTTTATAACTTTTCTCATGTTAATTAGCCTCTATATACCTCAGGTCCTGAAGCCCAGTTCTCACTTCACACATATGACTTCCTTTCAAACACTGCTGCACGTGCAGATCGCAACATTTGATTTTACAAGTACCGTATTTTCCGGACTATAAGTCACACTTAAAATCCTTACATTTTCTCAAAAATTGACAGTGCGCCTTATAATCCGGTGTGCTCACGGACCTCGAACCAATTTTATGTGGTACGCAGCACTTAAAAATCTGTCAAAAAAAATGTTTTAGTACAACTTTGGTAAGCTATGAAGCCGCACTGCTTGATGGATTGTCTGAGCATTACGGCTACTGTAGTCAGGAGCCTTGAAGAGCAATCTGGGTCCTAAACTCTGTCCTCTTCAGGTCCCAAAGTCAAACGAACACTGTGGCATCACTGAGAGTTAAAAACTGTCTAAATTCTTTCATCTTTAATAAAACAATCAGCGTTTACCAGGTGCAACAATTATGTTTAACATCCAGGCATCCATGAAAAGTTTAAATGAAGGCAGAAAACTAAACAGCAGTGATGTTTGTAGGGTTACTGAAGTTGAACTAGCTGACGTGATTGCTAGCGACACAGCTATGTTAGCATAACATAAGCACAGAAGAAGATGAATGCTAACTTTTTTCCACTCGATAAAAGTTAATGTGAGGGTTCCCGGTGGTTAGAGACAAATGCAATCGCATGGCAGGATGCTGTAAACAGACCAAACTTCAGTCAGGAGAACAACTGAGATTATTCATCCACAATAGAAGGTTAGTCATTAATATACTGCAACAACACGGGAATAGAGCAGCTGCGAGAGAGTTTAACATTAATGAATCAATGGCACAGAAGTGGAGGAAGCAAGAAGAATGAGTCGAGGAAAGTTTGACTTATCTGACTGTTTTGTTTCGCTTAATGCGTCTTATGGTCCGAAACATACGGTAACTGTTGCCTGCTGTCTATAAATGTCACTCAGAACTACAAAAGCCAAGGCTCACAATCAGAAGGATGAACCTATCCAGTTAGTGTTTCACGGATATTTTACGTGTTAATTGAAATAATGACATGTGGATCTACATTAAAAGTCAGTGATCAATCAAAGTCCTCATTCTCTCAGAACTACAAATTACAAACATGGTGGAGGCCGGGTTGTAGGATATACGGCTGCTTTTGGAACCGGGACACAAAGACCCACAAACAAGAAGCTGAAGGCAGCTACGGTAATCGTCTTCCAGACCATCTCAAGGAGGAAATGCAGCATTTGGTGACGTCCACGGGTTCCAGACTTCAGGGAGTCATTGACCTCTCTAAAAGCATTAGCTCTATTTTCTGTGTGACACTGCCGCCTCCATCTTTACACATTTTAGACACCCTTTAACCTTCAGTGTAGACTCACTATCCTCGCCTGCTTTATCACCCAGCAGTAATTACCACACCCACTGGCCTCTTCACACACAGCTGCTTGTGTGCATGTGTCACTGTACGGCCTCAAGGAATGCAGAAATTATACTATGAAACTGAGCAGAGGGACTCTCATGCAGTGGCGTATATAACACTGTGGGAGAACTGGACTTGATCAGACCCCAGGGCACAGGATTTAAAGATGACTCACTGAGTACTATTTGATCAAGACTCATTCTGACTCATTAGGAACACAAATACTGGAAAACACGACCTGCCCTTTGTAAACTGTACAGCAAAATGATTAGCAGCTCAAAACTGACTGACGAATAAATTGGAATAATACATATATGATATACATAGATCGCATGGACATCTTTGGGAATGTGTCCTTTTTATGGGAAAAGACGGCAGTGTGAAGAAGGCGAGTGGAAGTAGAAACCCTGGCTCCAGCATCATCTGGATGTTATTCTCACCCATACCCCTCACATTTACACTTCTTTATGGCAACAGCATTCCCTAATGACACTGAGAACAATCGCAGGCCCACTGCAGAAATGGTTCAGGGCTGGTTTGAAGGACATTATAGAGTTCAAGGTGTTGACTTGGCCTCCATATTTTGGAGGCTCTTTTAAAATTTTCCCCCCATAAATACAACCAGTGGCTGCTGTATTTATGTCTCTGCATGTTTAATGAAATGTTATCGATAATTACCACTCATTACAATACATTAATAAGTATTCGTTTTAGTTGAGCATGAATAAAAATGTATGTTCTGACAAACTGTGCACAATCATGATCTGCTGAAGCCTGAAGCTTAGCTTTGTGCCCACACACCAGCTGCTGTGTGAAACCGTGCTGGCGACTCACCCCAATTCACACAAGTGGATAAATCAGCTCTGAGCCACTCAGCGTATCCAGGTAAACCAAGTATGAAGGCCTATTTTAGGTTTATCAGATGCAAACAGCGGTGGCTGTAATAATAATGAGCATGTTTATCACACAATAATTGCATCAGCACTGTGGAACATGCAGCCAGTTACAGAGAAGATGCGTATGAATGCACGCTTGTGTGCTTCAGTTTTGTCTTTACAGGAAAAAAAGACAAAAAAACCAACAAATTAACTTTTTTAATGTGGCTCCGTTTTTTTTCCAATGTAATTATTTCCTTTTTGGTGATCCAAACTGATCATGAACAGTGTGAAGGAGAAGACAAAGGATTTTCTCACACTCCCTCTCTGTCCTCCCACTGTGCCTATAACTGTCTCCAGGAACGTGTTAATCTCTGTTATTACATGGTTATCATACATACTACACTTTCAATAGTCAACAATGGCACTCCTAGATTTACAGATTTGTTGTTGTTTTATTCGGCTACTCTAACAAAGAAATTTTCTAATTTTGGCATAAACCGCATGTCTGCATCTATCCTCCATGTTCTTACCAGGAGGTTTTGTGGTTGGAGTCTCAGCTGGAAAACAGCTGAACAACTCCGCTGGCAACAGGTGATGATCAAACGTAATTCTGCTCGTCACTCTTCCCCTCTAAAGGTCTTTATTAGGATTATTCACATGCAACATGGCACATCGGCTAATGGAAAAGGCTAATACAGTCTATTGGCTGCAGTTTTGTCTTCTCCTTGCCAAATTACAGCAACAGTCTCACTGAATGACCCTGAATCAGCACTTTCATTAAGAACAACTTACCCCCAACTCTTCTAAAAGACGTTGCCAGTGTTATAATTCAACTAACTTCACTAACCCTTCAAAACCAACCGAGATATTTCATCTTGATTTATGTCCAAAGTTACACTGGTTTCATCTGTTTGTGGAGGGTTTCTTGTTTGTTTGCTTGCTTTGATTTTTGGAAAACCTTACTTCACCTCACTACTTTACAGCTAACTCTACTGTACAGTATCTATATTGTATTTATATTATTAAGCTAAGCTGCTGTCCATTTTTTGGCTGCTATAACACTTAATTTCACAATTTTAGGGATAAATGCAGATATTTTCTAATCTACATAGAACAGCCACAGCGATTATTTGTATTGGACCATTTTAATAATGCCCAGTGCTTGTTTAAGAATTAAAGAAGCATTGAACTAGACTTGACTGAACAAGCAGGGTCATGTTTTACCTGTGGGTATCTCTATCAGGGTCGTTTTCGAGGTCCAGCTGCTGAGTAGCAGAGAGTGGGAGGCTTTTTTTGCTCCAGCTCCTGCAGGACTCTGACGATGACAGCACTAAAAGATCGCTGTATTTTCCTGATGCTCTGAAGGGTGGCACCACAATGTAACCTGCAACACAACACAATGTCAGAGTATGTCAGGTCAGTTTCACACCTTAACAAAGCATACCTGCCGTATAAAAGTGTCATACCCAAAGATGCCTTGTCCTGCACTGCCAGGTGTAGCGTCCCAACCAGGAAGTTGATGAGCTCAGGCAGGAAGCGCTTTGAAAAAGAGACATACTCCACTCCCAGAGAGCACAGAACTAAACCTGATGTTAGGTCCTGTAATGATCTCACTGGGCACTGAAAAATTACAAGACATAGACACAAGCACACAAGATTCAGGATTACTGCACACAGAGAGACAGATCTGGAAAGAAAATGCGTTTGTCAAACTCAAACACATATTTGTTTCAAATAACTTACAGAATGTTCACATAACAAGGAGCATGGACTTCGTCCCTCATCATTTCATGATCTTTGGAAAAGTTTACTAACGCTATGCTAAATTAATTTTTTTTGTTTTTTCTGTTATCAAACTGTTCTCCCACTAGGAGCTCAGTCTGAGTGGAGTTTTTTTTCTCCTCCTCTTACCTCATGTAGTGTATTTTCGTTGTTTTTTCCTATCAGCCTACCTTTCTGACATGTCTCCCCAATGTAATGTTTGTGTAAAGTTGGTCAGAAGGTTCCTTTGTAAGTGCGCATGCGCCATTAGCGTGCTGCCTGCTGTAACCCTAATTTCCCTCGGGATTAATAAAGTATTCTGATTCTGATATATATGCATTTGGTTAATTTGCAACCGAGGCTTAATGTCTATTTGGTACAATTCTAGCAAGAACAATGAAAAGAGAGAGATTGTCATCTAGTGTATATTTGGCATTTTGAACAGGTCTATTCTAAATATTATTTTGATTTAACTTCTGATTTTTACCTGTTTAGAATTGTAGCCTCAAGTGATGTGTGGGTAAGCATTCGTGTGTGTATGGAAAGGACAAAATATGTGCACGTGTGTTCGTGTATGTCTGTTGGTAACATAGAAAGGACTACCAGGATTCAATGTGATGGCCTCCTGACATTTAACAGCAACTGTTTTCTGAAGTTCCACAGAAAAGTAATTAATCTCACACACACACACACACACACACACACACACACACACACACACACACACACACACACACAAACACACACACACACACACACAGCAACACACACAAACACACACAACACACACCGTACACACACACACACACACACAGTAGCAGCTAGGCAAGTTCGACACTAGATAAGATCCCAAACTGCTCAAACAACACAGATATTAAAAGATATGTAAAAATATTAAAATGTCTGTGTGTACCTTGGTGAGAGCCTGGCTGATGAAAAGCAGCGCTGGAGTTGTAACTGGGTGCCTGAAGTCTGAGGTAGGAAACAGCAGGGCTGTCACCTTAAGGTAGATGAGCTTAAAAAAGAAGGAAATATACAAATGAAGGTGCAACATATACAATAATAAGTGTCTTTACATTAGAGAATTCATTTTATTAATCCTACTTTAAAAACATCTGGGACAAAGTCCAAAGCATTCACTTAAATCCTGAACATAACACATCAAACGTTAAACGTCTATTAAATCTTTTAAGAAAACAGTTGCACTTCTACACAGTCCTAGTTACATTTTGACTAATATCAGTTTGAACAGTGTCTGATTGTTGAGTTGCCAGAATCAGATGAGCAAAGAGAGGATCTGATAAAAGTAAGCTCATCCAGCTCTTCTTCAGTTCTTACCCCAGGCTCAGGGCAGCAGAGTGAATGATTCGCAGCATGCCTTGCTGGCTTTTACTGTGAGGGATGACTGAGCGACGGAGGCACAAATAACAGGCCTTTAAACAGATTGGCAGTCAACTCTCATTTTATTCCCCTTTTAATCACAGCAGTGGGTTAGTGAGCAATATTTACAGTGCAGATTGATTTTTCATCAAAACTAAATCAAATTACTAAAGAAGCCATTTAAACCAGGCTAAACTTTGTTTCAGTGCAACCACTGCGGCCTACTCATCATCATAGCCTGACACACAATGATCCCCACAACAGGAAATGGGCCACTGCTCAATCCATCATTCAGAGACAATGATAACAAGTTAACAGATTATATAGAGAGAATCTACCTGCTCTTTAGAAATATATACATTTTAGAACCCGTACTTTCAATCAGCCTCTCATGACTAACATGGCAGTATTACTCACTCACGCACGCAGTGCAGCTGAGTTAAAAGTTCTGTGTAGTGTGTTAAGAGGTCACGGTACAAGCACTGATCAAAATCAGCTGGGATGAAATCAAACTGTAAGAAGCTCTATTGCTTAAAGATGAATCACTAGTTTTCTTTATATAACACTGGAAGGTCTTAACATTGATTCAAACATTGATTCTACCTGAAGCGAGAATGGCGCAGGCCTACGAATCAGTCAGTCCCTGAATGAGCTGACATTTAAAGACTCCAAAATCTATAAACACCACGGTGAACATCAAACATTTACCACAATCAAAGTAAGTAATTCATACCATGTCTAGTGTAGGGAAAGCTGCGTGACCTTTGACCTCAAGCGTCTCTTCCATGCTATGAGCGGCATCTCCGAGGATGCTCTGCATAGCCTTACAGGCTGCATCTGGAAACATCTGGCACAGAGCGTACACCTCGCTGCAGAGAGATTTGCAAAAGGTAAAGAAATGTCTTTATTTCAAGGACTAAATATTTTGAAGCCTCTTTCTGAACTCACGGTATGAGCTTATCAATGGTGCTAAGTTCAGGTGGACTCCTAGTGGCCAGCTCTCCGATGTACTCCAACAGAAAGCCAAAAAGTTTCTGGAACAGAGAGAGCTCTGTGAATTCACATAACGGTGAAAGCTGCCGACTCATCACACATGTGCATCCAACTCTGTAACTGTACCTGCAGTTTGAGTTTATTGCCTACAGCCAAACTGGGGTGGTTGCTCTTTTGAGTTCTGGCCACAATGAGGCGCTGGTTGTCAGAGGTGTGACCACGTAGCATATCCTTCAGATCGTTGTAGCTCTCAGGGGCTGTGAGAGGAAGAAGAAGAACAATACAGTATTGGATATTTTGTAAGGGAAAGAAGTAACTATAACTAAACATGACACTAATCTGCCTTTTTTTATTTTATTTTAGTGAGTAATAAATTCTGGTACCAGCAAATGTGTATGGGAGCTCTGCTTTGGCTGCCTCCTGCTGGGCCTTCACTTCCTCTTTGCTGAGAGTCTTCTTCGGCTTGGGGCTGGCCTCTTCCTCCTCCTCATTTTCGCTTTCTTGCTCAGACTCGAGGTCTGAGTGGCCATCATCTTCACCACTTCCCTCCTCTTCTTCCTCCTCCTCCTCTTCTTCTTCTTCCTCAACTTCATCCTCCTCTGCATCCGATTCCTGTTCCTCACTGCTCTCGCCCTCTCCTTCTTCATCTTCAGCCTCATCTTCTTCTTCTTCCTCCTCCCCCATGTTCCATTTTCCATCCTATGGACAGGAATAACACATTAAGATAAAAATCAACAGTCATACTAGGAGGAATAACCCAAAGTAACAAAACTGTTCTGCATTGTGTCGTCTCACACCTGATAAGCCAGAGTCTTCTTGTCATGCTTATCCAGAATGAAGCCGTCATTGAGGTCATCAGCAGAGAAGTGAATCTGACTTTGTGCACCTTCCACGACTTCCTCTCCCATCATCCTCCTGAGACGGTCAGCCTGTAGAAAGATCAGGTGATGGCAACTGGTCGTTATCAATTACTTCTCTAATTAAATTCACCATTAAAGTAAAATCTCAAGGCGATCTCAGGTGACCGTAACTCAAAACCCTGCAATCTGGACAACAGCAAAGCTGCTTTTTTTGGAAAACCTGTACAGTTATTGGTTTCTGTTAGTTACATTGTCCCATGATTCCCAAACTTAGGGGAAGACTTTTGAAAGGAAAAAAACTAATCACAGATTCTGATAGGATAGGGAAGGGGTTAAGGATTACAGGTACTTAGATCTCACAAGGTCAAACCGCATTTGAATGCTGCCTTTGACGTGACTGTCATAAGAGCAAGAAGCTACTTCTGTCAAAATGTAAGAGCTGCATCGTATAATGCTACAATGTGGCTTTCCAGCATCTTTTCTACGTGGCTCCTGTTAGCTGAGAGCTCGATTTATTGGGACAGTGATGTCTTTGCATTAAAATGATGCGTCTATCAAGAGGTATTTTCTCTTTTTAAAGACTGAGAATAAAACCTGATTTCAATTAAAAAGGAAAAAAAACAAAGAAAGATCAGGCGATTAACATCAAAGTGGTCAAAGGAGCTTGCAAAGAAAAGCGTCTGGACTTCTTTAAGTTGCAACTTAAAGAAGTCCAGACGCTTTTCTTTGCAAGCTCCTTTGACTACGATGACCTGGATGACTGAGAACCTTCACAGACAATAATATCAAAGTGCTTGACAGCTGCAGACAACAAGGCAAATTTCCACAGAGCAAATGTACCTCGAGTTTCTGCAGCTTCTCTCTCTCTTCCTTGGCTAGCTCCTCTGGAGTTTTCATCTTCTCTGAGGGCTGAGCCTTCATCTCAAAGCCGAGCTCTCTGACCATCATGTCATATTCCTCCAGCTAGAAAACACAAACATGAAGCAAAAGGTATTTATTACAACAAAAAAAAAACACACACACACACACACACACACACACACATCTGGGTGGAATGGTCTTTTTGCAGACTCATTTGTGTATTCCTACTTTGGGTTTCTCCTCCTGTTTGTCAGCTTTGGGCGTCTTTTTCACCATCAGAGACTGTATGTTCTTCCAGTCTTGATCCAGCTTCTCGGTCAGCTCCTGGGCCTCCTCTCTCTGCACCTGGCGTTCCCTCTGAAAACAAGCCCCAGACATCAGCCCTTAGCAGTTTAGCAAAGTCTGTAATCTGCAACAATATGACAGGCAAAGGCAGCATGGGCCAAAATCCATCAGCAGGACCGAAGCCTTACCTTCTCCTGCTTGGACTTCTGGATGAGCTCTTCAATGAGCTCCTGCCTGGATTTTGCCCTCTGGCCTCCCTCCTCCTCCTCCCCCAATGCCTTCTTCCTGAGGAGACCACCTCCTCCTCCGAAGTGGGACGCAGTGAGCTCAGCTAGGTGTGAAAGAAAAATAATGTCACTAATAAATGCCAGCTCTGTCATCTATAATAACACTCGTGTTCACTCCAAGCTGTGGGCTGGGAATGAAAAAAGATGGGCAACATGTTTGGGAATATGCAGGAAAATTAATTAACATTAATTCCCCCCATATCAAGGTGAGCTTATCTGGAGGATAACAAACAGTGACTATTAAAATATCAAAGTATTTAAATGAAAATGGATTCAAGGTACAACAGGAATATAAGAACCATGTAGATGTGGAAAAAATCCATTCATCTGGCACTCAGACTCACCAGACAATAGACCCTTTTCTTCTGATTCATCATCGCTATTCACAACATCATTGAATTTCTCCATTTCAGCCAAAGACTGGCCATAATGAGTCAGCTCTTCCTCCTCATTCAGGTTGTACACGTCCTTCTTCTCATGGACGCGCTAATAATAAAATACAAAGTAACAGAAGGTGTAGGTTTGGTACATCTGTGCACAAGCCAGTTTATTTTCACTTTTTTCATTATGCAGCTTGGACAAAAGAAGCGACAAATCTTTGCCTGTAAGTCTAGTATTAACATGACCAGTTAGGTCAACAAGTATTTAAACACAGTCGTTATTATGCTGTGATAGATTAGAAGTGAGCCAAGGCTGCAATGAAGAATAAACTGCATTTAGTTTATACAGGCTCTAAAGGAATTAGAAAAACTAAAAATTGATCTATCAGGCCTTTACTGAAGCCACCTTCAGATGCTGCGCAATTGTGGGTCTTCCTGTATCCAGTTTTTTCTTTAGTAAGTAAACAGCACACACAGATGGCATGAAATCAGTAGGCTATGTGACCATAATCAAAATCTTTGCCTTCAGAGTCTTGGGATGCTTCTGATGTTTCTTTTGGGTCATTATTAATCCACACTTTGAGGCACAGCACTGATTTTGCAGCATAACACTGGAAGCAGAAATGAGCATTCTTGGCTTGACTAGAACCGTTTTTCCTGCATCAAAGAATTCAATGATCCTCTATTTTACTCTTCTTCTGTGGTCTTCTGACCAGTCCAGAGCTGGCCTGTATACTTCCTCTTTTTAAGAATGCACCAGATTTTTTAGTCACTTAAGCCTCGACTCTACTTCTCTCATTTTTGAGTCCACTGGGGAGTTATGTAAATTTCATCATCACACAGTGAATGGGTCCTCAAACCTGAGCTTTACGTTACAATGCACCATCTACGCATGCGGCAAACTGCAAAATAAGTTTGATAGAAACAACTACTCAGCTGTCATGTCTCCAGTTGTTTGTGTCCTTGTCAGATTGTATATTCAAGGCGTTTCTTTTACTAAGAGGTCTAGAATCAACATTTCAGGCCATAAAAAGGAAGTGACGAGACTTTGGTTTTTTTTAATTGGAAAAAAGAAAAAAAATGTCTGAAATTCACAAAAAGTTAAATGCAGGTTTTTTGTTAAACTTCTCAAGTCTGGACTTGAATCACATCATGACTGGTTTATAGCAAATCTAATGAGTTATGGAGGATGTACACACTGATTAAGTAAACGACTGATGCTATATCCACAATGACGAAAGTAACACACACAAAAAAGAAAGAAATCATGTTAATCACTAAATGCTTGGCTTATTTTATCTATTCTTTATTTCACAACCTGATGATCAATGTGTCCTTTCAGGCAGCAATAAACACATCGCATCACTGACCTGTCTCTCCATCGTGAACCTCTGGAGAATTTTGTCTTCGGGTGCCATCTTGGTGTCATACTCTCCAAAACGTCTGTCAATAAATTTGCTGCATCTGTTCTTCTGTTTGTATTCCTTCAGCAGGGTCTCTTTTCTCTATAAATTAAAAAAAGAACTGCTTATTAATTACAAGCTGCCTAAACCCTATCAATTTAAAAAACAAAAAATAATAATAAATCACACAAATTAGAAACAACAAATGATGAAGATTTTACTTTTCTTAGCACTTCTGCTTGTATTTAGACCAGTTCACGGCTCTCTCTGTTCTTACAACCCTCTCAGTGACTCCTGCAGAAAGTCCCTCTCCCAGCATGACTGTGTGAGCACCAGGCTTCACAGCACAGATAGTGTTAAATGCACAGCGAGCTGTGAGCAAACACTGCCAGAACAGAAAAGTTTGTGGCTCCAGTTCTCTGGAGATTTTGGCTTAAGCAGCAGAGCTTATATACAAAACAGGTAAGAAATAGACATCTATTCAGATGTCTATTCATATTAATGTACAGAATTCACCTGCTTGCTGCTACTACTGCACATTCACCCAATATATATATATATATATATATATGACAGATGGACCGATCCGATATTACGTATCGGTCCGATACTGACCTAAATTACTGGATCGGATATCGGAGAAAAATAAAAAATGTAATCCGATCCATTAAATATCACGAAAGCACCTCACAAAACTTGCAACACGCCGTAACTCACCTCAGAACGTTAGCACGTCGGAGCAGTATGCATCACGTGATAGAGTGGCTGTGGCATGCGGGACCTGTCGGTGGTCTGGATAGCATGTGGAGCTTCGCTAGCAACCCGGCATTTCATCTCCGACAAAGTTATCCCCGAGAGAAGTAAAGCAAGTGTGTAAGTCCATCTCTGAATGTTTGTAAAGCATTCCTGCGTTAAGCTTAACAAGCGACTGCCTCTTCCTGCTGCTACTTCAATCATGAAACTGCTTAATGATCAGCTGATCGGCTTTTCTGTCGCGAGTCCGTCTCTCTTGTTTGTTTTTGGCCCACTTTGCACCAGAAAGAGGAAACCAGCGGCTGAACAACAGCAGCACGTTTAAGCTTGATCAGCTGTTGTTAGAATTTATTTAATATTACTTTCTACTCGAGGATCTTTTTCTACGTAGCTGACGGCTGGTAACTGTGCAGGGGCGGATCTAGCAAAGTTTAGCCAGGGGGGCCGATAGGGCATTAACAGGGAAAAGGGGGCACAAAGACATACTTTTCTTTCTTATTCTCATTTAAAATGTCTAGCTTTTAATAAATAATTATCTGACACCCAAAGTTTTAATTTGATGTAAAAGGAATAGAAGTCAATTACTGTATATAGTGACTATTAAGTCTAATATATATACCCTAGTAAGCTATAGTACTTTTTCCTTTGGGAAGGTACCATCTGTGCAGTCTGCAATTTTGTTGAAGAAAGATGTTGAATCTATTTAATATTTCTTGAAAAATAATTGATTTCTGTGCATTTTTTTTCACACTGCATCAAATTAATGTTGATTACGTCGATTAAGCATCATGAGGTGGAGCGTGAGGGGTGGTTCCCTATTTTTTATTTATTTATTTTTGTTGTTGCTGGGAGTTGGAACCCTATTAGTTAGGTTGCTTAATATTTACGCTAAGTACTCTTTAAAATACCAGAATAGGGAGGATGGTGTAGGTTTAAGTTTATTAGATTGATCAGTATTGCTGAACTATGAAATATTTTTTTTTGCATACAGGTATAACAGAATAGCTTTAGTGTAGTTGTTGTTTTAAACTTGAGTATGAACTTATACAAAATGCAGCAAGATATTTAAAAAACAGTTTTGTTGATTAAAAAACACTATATCGGATTCATATCGGTATCGGCAGATATCCAAATTTATGATATCGGTATCGGTATCGGACATAAAAAAGTGGTATCGTGCCATCTCTAGTATTATATATACGATTGATATACATTCATATTATAATATAAAAACACCCAGCACGCCCCTGCGGGCGGTTTATCCTTCAAGCTCGGGTCCTCTACCAGAGGCCTGGGAGCTTGAGGGTCCTGCGCAGTATCTTAGCTGTTCCCAGGACTGCGCTCTTCTGGACAGAGATCTCCGATGTTATTCCCGATCTGCTGGAGCACTCGCCTGGGGTTACTTGCGTAGTAGCATTCCAACAACGCCCTGTTTTCGTCTCTTGCCCACCGATGCCTTCTTGTTCCAGTAGCCCACTTTTCGTCAGGGTGCCCTGGTTCCTCAACACCTGACGCGGACCTTGTTGATCCGGGCGACGTCCGAGCCGGCATGCCTTCATATTTATCTGTCTCGCTCATGTCTGCGGTAGGCTTGCTTAGCATAGGGGATCCTCTGTTCCAAAGGCGTGTAGTCTAACCACTACGCTATCCAGCTGCTCTCTCATATATAATATATACACATATATACATATATATATATACACATATATATATATATATATATATATAATGTTCTTCCTCTACACCCCCCCAATTTTTTTGCACATGTCGAGGAGCGTGTCAGGCTACATTTCACTGTGTGTTATACTTGTATAACTATGCATGTGACAAATAAAGAACCTTGAACCTTGAAAGGTTTTAACTGTCAAGTTAAAGGTCAAGTTAGCAGGAAGTCTTCAGTTTAGGACTTGAAAACACAAACCATAAAAAGATATAGTTAATAGTTAAATTCATATATGATTTACACGATGTTTAGATAAATAGTTTTCAGCACTGACGGTCGCGCAATGCAGTGTAACTGGTCTTTCCAAAAATATGAATACAATTTAATAAAACAGTACTGAGCATCAGCAAATCCCTCTAAAGTGAGCTCACACCTGAACACAAGGTCAGGTGAGTTCATTAAAACATAATAGGGGCTGTCTCTTACCTTATTGACGGCTTTGGATCGAGATACACCGGGCAGACCCACATCATGCTTGCTTTTTCTCCCCAGGACATCAAATTTCTTTCTGTTGATTTTCACCTCAAACGGGTTGTTTTTGATCTCAGAGGAGGTTTTGGTCTTTCGCACCTTGTCAGCAAGGCTCCTCTTCTTCGGCGCCTTCCCCATCTGTAACAAAGCAATGGCTGAGTTAACATTACTGTCTCTTCCCCTCCTCTGGTTGTTTACAGCTTAAATCTTAGATCCTATGATAGTTAATTATGTTTATTTACTTCCTGGGAGTCTCGTTTTTTTCCTGCGACTTCTACTGGATACATTTTTTTGTTATCGTTATACTGGGCTAATGCTAGCTTAAAAATTAACTTTTAAAGCATTCAGGTTTACAAAACAGACACACTTGTTAGATGAAAATGCCAAATGAAATAGCATACGATGTTAAATCCACAAGAAAAAATATTGGGCTACTTTCAGGACAGTTAGCTTCACTGTGAACCGTCAGCAGCTTGTAAACAAACTCACATTTTCACAGACAGGAGGTGCTCACCTTTGAGCCGCGTTGACGCGTCGGATTATTAAGTCCAGGCGGAACAAAAGATTAGGAGGAAAAGCTTCAGCGACACTAAATTCAAGAAATAATTGTTTAATATATCCCTGCCCACGTTGCTTCACTGAGTTTCCATTTCTTCCAGCGTGCACAGCCTAAGGTGAAAGTTCACCACAATAGAGCAGACATGAGGTACTTCCGGTGGAAAAGCTCCTACAGCGCCTCTAGAGTTTAAAGATGGAAGTTCACCCTTCAAAATCAAGAAGTGGAGACGAAGCCTCCTGCAGTTATCGTAGCAAATTCAAACTGTGTTTATACAGATGGATGAAAAATTAAAAGAAATTGAAATAAAGCCCAATAAAGTAGCTTAGGAAGGGTAATATTACTAATACTAAACATTCCAATATAATAGAAGCAGCCAAAATCTGTGAAATACTTTTTGTAGCAGCGTTTTCAAGCATATCATTTTTTATTTATCCATCTATCCATCAATTCATCCATCCAATTTGTTCTGGTTATCCAGTTCAGGGTCACAGCAATCGGGTGAGATGTGCCAGTATGCTACAGATCATAGAGAGACAGACAACCATACATACACACCTACAGCCAACAATTTAGAATCACTCATTAACCTGATGCCACACAGACTGTGGGAGGAAGCCAGAATACCAAGACAAAACAGACACAAAGAAACATGCAAGCCCCACACAGAAAGGCCCCAGACTGGATTAATTCATTGTTTTTTTTGTCTGTTTTTCTCTTCCAGTGAGAATAAAATGAGACAGCTCATTTTGACCCCAACAAGCCAAACAGAACAAGTGAATGGAATGAAATAACTTCTAGCAACGAACATGCTGACCTTGTGTCTGCACAACAATTTTATTATAAGGAAGTACACCCCACTGTGTCCAATTTACACCCAATGTTTTGACCCCCTTGAATAAAAACTGGAACTGCATTTTGAAGGTCAATGCAGTGTCCTGCAATTTAGGGTTTTTCATCAATGTTTACTATCTGCAGAAAGCTGTATATTATTAATGTTCTGTGATAGCTATGATCTCCAAAATTAAAAGCAGAAACAACTGAACATAATTCACTGAAGTACAGAGTTCGAGCAGTAAATTGTTTTGTGTGTTGACTAATCTGTTAAACTACATAGCAGGAGGGAGTTGCAAAATTGTAGCGGTGAGAGTCAAAATGCTGCTGCTGGTGGAGATGTAGCAGGTAGAGACATGTATGAGGTTCTCTAATTAGAGTCTGAAAGGCTAGTGACAGAACAGAGGATGAGCAGTTCACAGAAGAAAAGCTAGAGAATGATCAGGCCTGAGGGTTTGAAGGACATGGGGCAACCATAAGGAATTAAGACGAGGAGATGCGACCATGATTTGTCTGAGTTATTAAAATTTACGTGATCCTATAAGGATAGAAAGGAGAGTAAAGACTATGAAAGCCCTGGCTGTTTCACAGTCGTCATCTCAAAGTAATAATTTCTGTATGAATCCAGGAAGAATGTCCCATCAGATCATCAGCTCAATTAATCCCAGAGGCACCCAAGGTTGGGATGTTTTTAACAGTGAAAGTGTGAAACTCTTCATCTAACCTGAAAACAGGAAGTAGACTGATTCGTCACAGATCTAAACATTTTCGAGAAAAGCACAACCCCCCTACACACTGTTTCCCATGGGGTGGTGATTAGACTGGAAATCAATTTGAGGTTCCCATGGCTAAACTGACATCATTAGCTTCACTGCAGGCTGACTAATGAATAACTGCATCATTTTATGGGTAATTAATTGTGGCAACACAGCTGTACTATAAACAGATGCCAGCACATCCACACAAACACACTTTTCACATGAATCAAAGCATAGCCACCTATCACAAAGAGATTTAAGATGTTTGTGATTGTTTGCCAGGATATTATCATGAAATCAATGATCCTGCATGTAAATTAGGTTAGCATTTCTTTCCTCCACAACTTAATGAATTGTTGCTGACATTCCAAACTATTTTTCATTGGCTAATATGACCAACAAGAAGACAGAGACACACAGGAGAAGAACAACAAACACACTTTTAGTTGTTTGATTTATTTGTGGCTTGTTTATCAGATCAGAACAGAAATGCAAATGATGGTAAATACATACAGTTAATGCACTTGGATTCATTTAACACAAGCAGCTAAACCATTATTCTTATCACTGATTCTACAGTATCGCACATTTTAACAACAGCAGTTGGTGGATGGGATAATGTTCTGAAATATAGCTTGACGTTTACGTAGAAGTGCAGAACAGTAGTAAACAGGACAGTTTCACTCTTGTACTTGGTACAAACTGAGGTTTCAGATTTCATGTTCAGAGAAAATGCACTATATTCACTTCTTAATTTAAATTACTCCATCATTAGTCATAGATATCTTAATTTTTTACAGGTCAACACAAATAGCGCACTCAGACAATGGTTTGCCATGTTATGATGAAAGGCTGATCCACATAAACATCCTTTGAAGTCGCATCAATAATCAGCTCCTATAAGAAGAGGCAGAGAAAACAGAGGGCGACTTAATCCTTTCGTTCATTTAACGTGGCCTGTTCTTCGTTATTTGTGAGCTGTATAATATTAATGATAATAATAACGCTCTTTAATTATTTACATTTAAATAGAGAAACCTACAGTGTTTAGATCTGTATAACAAAAATGAGCATCCCACAAATGCACTGACCTGGGAGTCAACGTTGTGCTCTGGGGTGAGATTATGTGCCACTCCAGCTACAGTCAGGGTAACCTTTGTGATCTTAGTACTGCCTGCACCCCAAACCTTCACGACGCCCAGCTTCAGCCGATCACCAGCAGTAAGACCATTGTGGGTCACCTGACTGGACAAGGTGTTCTAAATGAGAGGGTTGGAGACAAGGAGGAGGGTTAATGAAAACCAAATACATCCAGTGCAAATGATTACATATTTGATCTGTATCACGGATAAACAAAATAATAATAATAATAATAAATTCCACCAGCTATCAGTTTTACAGGATTGCGGTAATTGTATGACATGTTGGACAACAATCGGCACTGGAAGACACTTGAAGCCCTTTGGTGTATCTACAGATACTAAATCTACTCTGAGATCATGTCCAAGTTTTTCAGGTTTGTGAAAGAAATTCTTTGAGCTTGTCTGACTGCTAAACATGAACTTTTGCAGAAACCTTCCAACAAAACTGGTGGTGACTGCATTGTGGCTTTTATTGTTTTATTTAACTAAATGGTGTCGAGGAAGAAGAAACACAACATTTCATTCTCTTCTGACTAAGCATGTTCATTTTAAGCCACAAAAATTTAAGCACAAAATACCTTTGCTCTTGAGTAATTTGAAAGCATCTACTGAGTTATCATTTTTTTTACTATAATGGTCACTTATCTGCTTTGACATAATTAAAATAATGTGTTAATATTATATCATTAAAGCACTAAAACATCTTTCTTTTCCCTTTTCTTTTCTATTTTTTAATACCGGTGTCAAAATATTTTCTAAAGTTAGAAATTTATCTGAAGAAAAACTTATTTCAAACCACCAACTGCTAACAGTTAGCCTTTGACATCCACTTAATTTGGCCATTTTGAATGCTAAAGCGTGCATTTACAGTAATAATGACAATGAAAAAAACACGATACGTAGTTGGCTCTTGAACTCACCGACTGTGCTGAAAATGAGATCAGAAGATATTTGTTGGTCTCCACCGTGTCTGAGGAGAGAAAATACGAACATGAAAACAAAATAACTGACACAGAGACAACTTACGGATACGTGAGAATTTGTGCCGATGAAGACTTGAGTTGATATTCATTTGACTAAATGGAGAAAATATAAAAATGATGTAACATAGTAATGACTCGCAAGCAGACGAGCCATAACAATAACAATTAAGTAAAATAAGTAGATAATTGGCTTAACGTATGCAGAGTAAATATACACAAGGGTGAATAATTAATTGGTGGCGTGAATAAGTGAACATGGAACTGGTTGGATGAATGACACCATGACCAGGTAAGCAAGTAATGCATTGAGAAAAGAAAATAAGTGTGAATAATCACTCTATAAACACATACATTAAATGTCAAACCCCATGCTATTCGGTGTGTTGATAGGTGTAGGTGTTTAAGAGGGACCTTTCACTTACCAATTCCCTCGCCATCATCCCAGAATAAGGATCCTTCAGCGGTGCCGCTGTCACTCAGAGGGACGATCAGTCCTAGAGGATTCTTCCGGCTAAAAAAAAAAAGCAGTGGAAATGTTTGTAGCAGATATCTAAAGGACAACGTCCGTTTAAACCTGATGCTGAGAACAAACAGGGGCCTGATCTCCTTACTGTTGAAAATGATCATCACCTGAGTGTCCCACCTCTCATTCCCACTCACACTTAAAAACATTCAAACACACAAGCAATATGTGTTTCTCTCTCATTAACCGACAAACAAGCACACAGGTCACGCTACACACAGGATGCAGACCTGTAGCTAACTGTATGGGGCATAATGTGTGCTCACCTGTAGTATGTAGTGTTCTCGGGCTTCTGCCAGGGTAAGATGTATCCTCCTCTGATGTGCAGGTTAATATGGTCCAAGGGTGTCGGCATGTTGATCATTTGGCCACGCACTCCAACATCTCCGGCCTGATGAAAGAAATGATTGAATGCTATTAAAGTACTAGAGGCACAGGTAGAGTGTGAAGGCATCTTTTAATCAACAGAATTATGCAAATGCATTGATAACAAATATTTGCTTTTAAATGTTATTGCTATAGACAAATACTTACTGTGTGGTAGTCATACCAGCGTGCGTTGGGAAGATAGCCATTCACATTTGTGACTCCCTGAAATCAGTCGCAAATAAAAACAATCAATCCCAACACTAATGGTGTAGACATTTAAAAGAAAAAGGGAAAAAAAATGTGTGTGTGTGTGTGTGTGTGTGTGTGTGTGTGTGTGTGTGTGTGTGTGTGTGTGTGTGTGTGTGTTACAGCATACCGGGTCAAGTGCGGGGCTGATAAGTAGGGCAGGTCCCCAAAGGAACTGTTTGTAGATTTCCCATGTAGATTTGTCGTCCACAAACCTGCGATACAGCAGCACAGAAGCCAACCTCAGTATTCAAGCACTCATTCAGGATTCAGTGGCTTCCAGATGAAAG